CAAGCTTTGGGGAGTGAAACAATGGATACAAGATGTCTCACTCTCTTTCTCTCTCTGTAACTCTTTCAAATAAATAAAGTTAAAACCTTAAATAAATTCTAAAAAAAAAAAAAAGAAAAAAAACTATTCAGTCATTTCATTTCTCACAAAGAACAGATCACTCTAACACAAAAAACGTTACAGTAGCAATTTCTGGACCCAACCATACATTTTTTCACCTATAATATATCAGCAATTCAAGGAAAATTACATTTATTAAGTTTTATCACCTTTATATGTGCACCATAATTTATGCCAAATAAATCTTGGTGTACAAAGTATATTCTACTTTCAAACTTCAATAGCAGAAAATAATGATTATAGGTTTTACAATGAAAACAAACTATCATTTCAGAACTATACTATTACTGCTGTAGTTTATAGCCATGAGCAAACCTCTTAAAAAATAAATTATGCTGCATTCCTGCTTCCAAACAAAAGATGGACTCCAATGAAACTGTTGGAAATGTGTAGACAATGGAACGCAGGTCTGTCTGACATTGTGTGCACCAGAAATGACGGGGTACATTTAAATAACAGACTGATGGAATTATGATTCCTTGTGAAGGACTATACTACTGCAACAACATCGGGGAAATCTGTTGGGGGGGTGAGAGCTTGGGGGGCAATCCAGTCTATTTGAAATTATACCACAAAATTCAAAAATTCAAAATAAAAATATAACAAAAAACTTTAAAAAAATAAGTTATGCTCCATAAGGATCTTCCTTCATAAACTTGGCATAAGAAATGACATATATCACAGAAAAACATACCTAATATAAGCATATGTCAAAAAGTTCATGGAAAGGGGATCATTTTCGTGCAGAAAAAAAATTTTAATCCATTCCATAATATAAATATTTCCTGAATTTTCTAAAGTCTTCTCATATGTTTGCATTTTAATTTTTTGCACCAAATATACTTACCTTTTCATTCTTTTTTCAAAGTACTTTTTTTTTTAAAGATTTATTTTTATTATTTTTTTTATTGGAAAGGCGGATATACAGAGAGGAGAGACAGAGAGGAAGATCTTCCGTCCGATGATTCACTCCCTAAGTGAGCACAACGGCCGATACTATGCCGATTCGAAGCCAGGAGCCTCTTCCGGGTCTCCCAAGCAGGTGCAGGGTCCCAAAGCCTTGGGCCGTCCTCGACTGCCTTCCCAGGCCACAGGCAGGGTGCTGGATGGGAAGTGGGGCTGCCGGGATAGAACTGGCACCCATATGGGATCCTGGGCGTGCAAGGCGAGGACCTTAACCCCTGAGCCACCGCACCGGGCCCCAAAGTACTTTTTTGATTTGTTTGTTTAAAGGTTCATTTATTTTTATTGGAAAGTCAGATATACAGAGAGCAGGAGAGACAGAAAGGAAGATCTTCAATCCGATGATTCACTCCCCAAGTGGCCACAATGGCAAAAGCTGAGCTGATCCCAAGCCAGGAGCCAGGAGCTTCTTTCCAGGTCTCCAGCACAGGTGCAGGGTCCCATTCTCCACCTGACTGCTTTTGTCCTTGATAAAAACCAGTAATGCATGTATATATGTGCAACCTGGATGGGATGATGAGTTTTTGGATCAGGATCAACAGAAGTAGGAGCAACACTAGAGGAGACCCTGGATCCTTGGAAACCTCAGGAATGAGTGCATGAAAACTGGTATAGGAGAGGCACCCAGGAGCTGGCTATGCTTGTAACTGTTTTGTTCCTTAGCTGCATTCTTCCCCAGTTGCTGGAATGCAGCCTCCACCCATTGACCTATTCAGGAATAATACCGTGCAACAAGAAGAAAGTGTTCCCTGAAATTAGTTCTGTTAAACTACCTGGTGAAACTTAATGTGTACTGCAGATTTGCTTTGTGATAATGTTTTACTTAGCATTGTTCAAATATCCTGGCTTTGTGTAAAAAGCATAGTATAGAAACACATCACAATAACCTTTTGCGCTTTGGATTCATACTCCTTGGTTCCCTGTGTCCTTTTTCAATCAGCAGTGCTCCCATGTCCCAAGCCCTGAGACATCCCGGGGTCCACATATGTGGTTCCATCTCTAGACTTTGGGTACCATGCCAACACAAACTGTCTTTACACTGAAACCAGTGCATCTAGCATACAGAATATAAAATTAATTTTTAAAAGCTGACAAAGAAATGACAACTCTGTTAAGGAACAGGAACGAACTACAATAGACATTTCTCCAAACACACATAAATGGCTAACAGGCATGTGAAAAGATATTGACATCATTTGTCATTAGAAAAATACAAATAAAAACCACTATGGATGCAAGCATTGGGAGCTACGCTTTAAAAAGCATGGCTTGGGATATCTACATTACATACTGGAGTGTCATCAAGATTCGAGGCTCCAGCTCCCTGTTACTGCATAACCTAGATGACAGGTTGTGATCCCTACCATACACATGGGAGACCTGGACTGAGTTACCCAATTCTTACTTTCCATCTTGTCGTGCCTTAAACATGAGAACATCTAAAGAAATGAACCAGCAAATGGAAGATCTGTGTCTGTCATTTTCTCACAAAGCCTCTCTCTCAAAAATAAACTTTTTTGAAAACAAAAGCACAATGACACCACACTGTAAACTCACTAACAAGATTGTAATTTTTTAATGGAAAATCACAAGTTTGGCCAAAGGTGTGATTTGCTACATAAAGTATAAAACGATGCAGAAATTTCTGTGCATAACAGTACAGGTGATTCCTGAAAATGTTAAAACACAACTATCATACAACCTAGTAAATGCATTTTCTGTGTTTATCCAAGAGAAACGAAAACAGACCTCCACACAAAAGGTTACACATGAATATTTGTTAAGTGGTACTACATCAGAGGTGGAAATAGTGAGTGCTTAATAGGTAAGGGGTTTCTTAGAAAAATAACACACACGTTTTCAAGTAGAAACTGGTGACAAACACCCAAAACTGTGAATGCATTGGTGGTTAAAGAATTGGGTACTTAAAAATGTCTTTAAAAGATTAATTTTATGCTTAGGTAAGTATTATACTGATATTTTTAAAAACTGATCTTCCTTGGTCCAGAATTTAGGGTATACAAACAGAAAGAGATCATTCCTTATCATTCATGCTTCTTTATTGCTTTAATTTTTCCATGTACCAAATGGTATCAAATAGCTAAGTAAATAAGCATAAGCTGATTTCTCAGCTTGGCTAACAAAAAGTTACTAATGAAAGGCCAGCAGCATGCTACAGCAGATAAAACTGCCACCTGCAACATCAGCACCCTGTTTGAGTACTGATTCGAGTCTTGATGGCTCCACATCTTATCTGGCCCTCCGCAACCACCTTGGGAAAAGCAACAGAAGGCAGCCCAAGTGTTTGGGCCCCTGCCATCTACATGGACACTCTGTGGAAGTCCTGGCTCTAGCTTTACACTGGCTCAGTGCTAGCTGCTATAGCTATCTAGGGAATATACTAACAGAGGAAAAACCTTTAGCCCTTTCAAAATAATAAAAAAAAAAATCCTAAAAAATAAAACAAAAAAAATTATTTTTTCAATACTAGAGGGAAGGCCCAATGCAGCCTAGTAGCTAAAGTGATCATCTTGCACATGCTGGGATGGCATGTGGGTGCCAGTTCATGTCCTGGCAGTCCATTTCCCATCCAGCTCCCTGCTTGTGGCCTGGCAAAGTAGTTGAGGACATTCCAAAGCCTTGGGACCCTGCACCCATGTGGAAGGTCTGGAACAAGCTCCGGGCTCCTGGCTTCGGAACAGTTCAGCTCCAGCCACTGTAACTGCTTGGGGAGTGAATCAGCAGATGGAAGATCTGTCTCTCCTCCTCTCTATATATCTGACTTTCCAATAAAAATAAAATAAATCTTAAAAAAAAAATACTAGAGGGAAATAATGAAGATTTCTGGCCTTTAAATAATATCCTACAAATTCTTCCTATCCTCTGTAATCACCTTGCTTTCTTCTTCAATTTACGTTATGGTATCATTACAGAGTACACACACAACAGTTAAAACTTTGGGGGCCACTGCTACGGTATAATAAATAAAATCACCATCTGTGATGCCAATACACTATGTGGATGCTGGTTTACATCCCAGCTAATCCACTTTCAATCCAGCTCCCTGCTAATGTTCCTGGCAAAAGCACCAGAAGATGACCCAAGTGCCTGGACCCCTGTCAATTACATGGGAAACCCTGATGAAGCTCCTGGCTTCAATTTGGCACAACCCTGGCCATTGCAACCATTTGGGGAAAGCACCAGCAGATGGAAGATCTCTTATTTCTCTGCCTATCTCTCTCTGTGTAGCTCTTTAAAATAAATAGTTGATTTTTTTTTTTAAAAAAAAAGGGAATTTAACCGTTAAGCCAAATACTCTTCCTCCTTCTAAAGTATATCAAGAAAAGTAAGTGAGAATAATAGACACAAATAAAAGAATGCTTTCCCTGGGGCCGGCACTGTAGCACTGAGAATAAAGCCACTGCCTCCAATGCTGGCATGCCCCATATGGGCACAAGTGCGATTTCCAGTTTCTTGATTTCTGATCCAGCTCTCTGCTAATGCCTGGGAAAGGAATGGAAGATGGCCCACATGTTTGGGCCCCTTGTGCCCTGTAGAAGACCTGGGAAGGAGCCCTTCGCTCCTGGCTCCTGGCTCCTGGCTCCTGGCTTCAACCCAGCACAGGCCAGCTCTGGTTGTTGCCTCCATCCAGTGAGTGACTCAGAGATGGAAGACCTTTCTCTGTATTTCCCTTCCCTTTGTAACTCTTTTAAATAAATGAGTAAATCTTTAAAAACAAAAAATGCTTTCCTGATAAAATTATGGTGTATTGTTCAAAAATGACATTTGCTTATAACAGATTTAAATTCCTTATTTTTTTTGCAACTGAGGCGTTAATGGTAAATTCAGTCCTAACGTATTCAATTTCCTTTGACAGGTATATTCCATCCTATATATGGGAAGCGTTTAATACTCACTTATCAAGAAAATCTTTGTCCACTACAGCGGAGATGTCAAGAAGAGGATTGCCCATTCCAAAGAGAATATTCTCACTAAAAAACATAAAACAAAACACAAACTCAAGTTAGAAATAACTCTGAAAACAAGCTGATATGTAAAATATACAAAATATAAAAATAAATTCTTTCTTATTAGCCTGAAAATAAACCAAACATACTAATTTAATTAAACCACCAATTTCCTATTACAGGAAGGTAGCACGGGGTCAGTCCTGCAATGCAGTAGATTTTGTGGCTGCCTGTGATGCTGGGTCCCATTTCAGAGCATCAGTTCAAGCCCCAACTGCCCAAGTCCTGCTCTAGTTCCCTGCTAATACAAGTGGGAAGTCAAGTACTTGGACTACCACCACCCACGAAGGACAGCCAGAGTTCCTGTCTCCTGGCGTGTACTTGCTCCAGCCCCAACCACCAAGGTCACTTGAGGAGTAAACCAGCAGGTGAAAGATCTCTTCCTATCTCCCGTCTCTCCCTCTGTCACTCTGCCTTACAAATAAACCTAAAACAATAATAATAAAGGTAGAACAAAGTCATTTAGGAAAAAAAAAAAGTGATGACTTTTAGAGAGAATGATGTAATATGTAATAAAGAAAGCTGGCCAGGTAATTTTTTTCATAGTAGTCTATAATGAAGGATTAAAAATTATTCATTTCAGTGTTCCTTTTTTAGAAAAATACTGTTAATCTACTGACTCAGTAAACATGTTAGATAATTCTTTTTAGCTAATAAGACAGTCTACCACTCAGAGTAATTAGAAAATTCACACCAGATCCTGCAAGAATCCAAACAAGCACATCACTCAAGCAGTGAATGGCTATGACCAGGCCTCAGCAGTAAAATATCAGAATCCTTGTAAGTATCAATCATTTAAAAGACTGATAAAGTTCCTTTCCATAACTGATCACAGTATGACTGAAGACCAAGGAGAAGACAGAACCTACCATAAGTGGTGCCTTAAAAAGAAGCCCAACTGGTGGTAAGAATGAACCAGTAACCAATACTCAGTCAGTCTCAATGGGAGGCAAGCCAGTTAGCCTTGTCTCTCATCATTTTAATACATATTTAATACTTATTTCCATCATTATGCCTCACTGCAAAATCTTTGTTGATTTTAACACTCCTCCTTTGACAAGCCTGGGGAAAAAAAGGAATCAAACTATTGAATCTGTCTCCTGGAAAAAGTAAAACTGCACAGAAATATGTACATAAACATTTATAACACACTCATTTGCATTTCCAGTAGCAAAACACTGGCTCACCAAGTGAATATATAACATGAACATGTACATCCATATATGAAGCACCATTCAGCAATAAAATGAAACAGACTATAATCTAACAGTTTACATGAATTTCAAAGCCATTGTTCTGAATGAAGAGGGGAAGAAATCCTTGGGCTACAAACAATACGACTCCGTTTACTAACACTCTCAAACTGACAAAATCAGAGTGACAGATCAATAGACATCAGAGGATTAGCATATCTGCGGGGGTAATTTTTTTTCTTCATTTTTATTATTATTATTATTATCATTTTATGATACAGTTCCATAGGCCCTGGGATTCACAATTTTTGAGATGACCAAACAGTTTGAGTACCCTGCTTATGGCAATAGTTGCACAAATCTGGAAATGATTTTTAATATGTAATTATATATATATCATCACTATCTAAATTAAGAAGAGGGTATATAAAAACATGAACATGCAATAGAGTTTACAGTAAACTTAACAGTACTGTGCCAATTTCCTGGTTTTGGCAATCATCAAGGGAAGCCAAGCAAGCTGTAGAACTCTATTATTTCTGCAGCTTCTTGTGAGCCATGCAATATTTCAAAAGGAATAAAAGGATTTAAAAATAGATATAAAAATGTCTAAAACCAATTAGGATGACATCATTGAGAAAGGCAGAGTATGGACTTGCAAAATCCTCTCTTCCTTAAAAACACAAAGAACAAAGCAAAAGTCATACATCAATCAACCTGTTCAGACTTTAAATATTCACCAAAGATTTGCAATAATCTCAGAAGCACTTATTCATAAAAGACAGCTGAGAGACACTCAAAGCAAGGAATTGGAGACAAGATAATTGATAGCTCCAATGGACAAGTGCTGGACAGCCGGTCAATCTCCATGCAGATTATCTGTGATAACAGATTCTTCCGGGGTACAGACAAGTTTGTGGCTGTTTTTCAAAACTCTACTTCAGCAAAATGTGCAGAAAACAGAGGCTAGAGAAACTCATGTGATTTCAGATACGATGACAGAAGAGGCACCAGAAAACCCTCCCCAAACAATGAGTGGAATCAATCATCGGCAGGGCCTGCATTCTCTTCCCCTGGCTAGTGGATGAAAAAGATAAATGTTGCTGAAAGAAACTCACAATTGGACACACATTCATAAAACACAAAGAAGTCACAAAAAGCAGAGGGCTGACCATGCTGGATGAGTACACGAATGTGCACATCTGAAGAGCAGCCGTTCCCTGTCCTCAGATGAATGAGGTCATGCTGAGAGTCCCTCTGCAGACATCTGACACGACATGCAGTTTGATAAATGCACTTGTGTACATCATTATATTTTTAGAAAGTCTACTGAAAGTATCAATGAGGTTTTAATAGTATTTTTATGCTGTACTCCTCACTTTATATAAATAAATCATCAGAAATTGGTAATACAAAATAAAGGAAAGAGTGTAAGCATGGACGAATCTCATTAACAGCAGCGCATTTGAACTTGCCCTGTTCCCCTTCACCTTTTCCCAGCTCCAGCTTAGCCTGGAAAAGCAACAGCACTCAAACACACTGAAGTCCTCCAGCCCAGCAGCCCCTGGAGAGAACAGAGCAGTTAGAGCTCTTTCAAAGCTCTACTTTCAGAACATTACGAGTATTTCAGTGGACTGGCAATTCCCTGAAAAACCCACTCCCAAGGCTTCCTGTGATTTGACCTGATTCAGAGCCTGCTCAGTGCTAACAGCCTTTTCCCCAAGGGTATTTGTCAAAAACAACCAGCTGCAATTGTTTAACATCTCAGCTGCCTGAAACAGTTGGAGCAAACATTCTAACCTAAAAAAGCATAAAAAGGAAAAATGGGGGAATGCAATGCCCACAGTTAGTTTTGAAAGTTCTGTTTAAACTTCAAAATCAAGTCTGAGGCCAAGGGCGTATGCCCAGGGCAGTGTGAAAGCTCAAGAAAGATGTGAGAAGGCCCTAAGCAATTCCTCTGACTGTGAAACTCTGCTAGCAAGCATAGAGAAGACTATTAGGAGTGGTAAGTAAGCCTAGCTGAGAGTGCAGGATATGTCCCAACAGGCAGAGAGAAGCCTCTCAGAAAAAAAATAAGGCAACAAAAGCAAGTACTAGCAAGAATGCCGAGAAACTGGAATCTTCATGCATTGATGATGGGAATATAAAATGATGCAGCCACTTGGGGAAAGTTTGGCGATTGCTCATATGACCCAATACCTCACTTCTAGGAAAAACGAAAACATACGGCAACACAAAAACTTACCCATGTATTTTACTGATAACAGTCACAAAGTGAAAATACCAAATATCTATGGGTAAACAAACATTAGTACACAATTAAATATTATTGAGTCACAAGAACAGGTGAAATACTGATATATGCTACCACCTAACTTTGAAAACATACTCAATGGAAAAAAAGTCTGATATAAAAGGCCAAATATCATACATTTCTAATAATTAAATACCTAGGAGAGGCAAGTTTGTAGAGATACAAACTGGATTAGTGGCTGCTGAGGGACAGGACAGGGAACGGAGAATGACTGTGGACAAGTACCAAGTTTTATCTCTGGGTGATGAAAATGTTCTGAAATTATACGAGATACAGCTTTGTAAATATTCCAATGCACTGAGATTTTCTGAATCCTTCCTGCATTTTATTACAGGGGGCAAGAAGGGGAAACATTTTATTTGAAAGACAAAGAAGAGAAAAATAGATCTTCCCACTGGTTGACTCAAAAGCAGAGGCAGACCTTGAACCCAGTCACTCTAATATGCAGTGCAGGCATCCCAAACAGCATCTTAATTGCTGCACCAAGCATTAACCTTGACATATTTGGTTTTAAATAGTGAATAACAGAAATGTCAAGTAACAAACAATAACTCATTTGACAAAACTGATATTTACACACCACTAAACTCAACATTCTATACTATATTAAATGAAAGCTGTACAATACATTTACACTGAAAAAAATCCCAAAGATTTCAAAATGCATAATATTAACCAAAAGAGACCACAAGCCAAACCAAGACAAGAAAATAATCTTAGTAGGAATCAAAGGCCTGAATCATAAGCAGTAAGTTCTCTAGTTATATACCACAGATGGGATTATAATATGGAAAAAATACATTCTGTGAATAAAACAAGAATAGAAACACAGCTTTTAAAAATAATTTGAAAATCCATGAATATTAAGAAATCAATAAACTTCTAAATGATCTGTAGATAAAATACAATGGAAATATAAAGTAATATAAGGGAATGTTTTATATAGGAAATGCACATATTAGAAAATAACAGATCCAAAATCAATTATCTAAGCTTCTGATTCAAAAAAGAGTAGATTATATCTGAAAGAGTAGAAGAAAATAAAAATGACAGCAAGAGTGAGCCTTGTGGCTCAGCAGGTTCAAACTGCGGCCTAAACACCTCTATCCTGTCACACAGTGCCTGTGATCAAATCCAATCTTTGCTTCCAATCCAACGTCCTGCTAATGAGTCTTAGAGGTAGCAGTTGATGGTCTAACCACTTGAATTCCTGGGCCCGGCGCGGTGGCGCAAGTGGTTAAAGGTCCTCGCCTTGCACGCCCGGGATCCCATATGGGTGCCGGTTCTATCCCGGCAGCCCCACTTCCCATCCAGCTCCCAGCCTGTGGCCCAGGAAAGCAGTTGAGGACAGCCCAAAGCATTGGGACCCTGCACCCACTTGGGAGACCCGGAAGAGGCTCCTGGCTTCGGATCGGCATAGCATCAGCCGTTGTGCTCACTTGAGGAGTGAATCATCG